ATGTGTCCCTGCTGCCTTTCCCCCCATCCCTCACTTACCTGAGCTGTAGAGCTGCTGTCTGGACTCTCTGTGCTGTGTAGATGCTGCCCCAGGGATCAGTGACAAGTAGAGAGAGGCAGGGATATTCTGTAACTTCCTATCCCTGCCTCTCTCCACACACCCTACTGGCCGGTGCTGGTATTGCAGAGTAATTTCCATTTATTCTGAGAAAATTACCTGCATTTGTATTGCCGGTATTACTGCAATACCGGCATGGCCAGGCAGCCTCATATACCGTCTGTGTCATTAAAATACCAGTCAGGTGGCAAACCTAAGAGAAGTGTGTAAAAAAAAAAAAAAAGATTTTTTATTTTTTTTATTTATTTTTTTAAATGGGCCTATATGGGCTGCAGCTCCATCAGCCCCTATGTTAATCCGGCCCTGCTTAGACAGCCCTAGGTCTATTTGGCCCTGTGTTAATGCTGATGGCAAAAATATCTGTCTAATCATGTAAAACAGACATAAGATGTTGTATTTTACCTTTCTGCGTTTTTTATTCACAAAAGGATGTCTTGTGAGTCTATTCTTGGAAAATGAGTGAGCTACTAATGAAAGTAAAGCATGCTGGGCTTGTGTAGTATTGATGCTGTTTAAGTGGTGCAGGTGCTACCAAGGTTACAAGACATGATCATCTTTAACCATTCAATTTACAGATCTGATTTATTTGAATTGTAAAAATCATTCTTAGCTAGGGATTGTCCTAAGCCATTTAAGACAAGCAGAAAAGTCAATTCCTCAATCTGACAGAAATACATTTACGAAAGTTTTACATGCATTTCCCACATAAAAAAAGCAAGAAGAAAAATGCGAAAAAAAAGTTGCAACACACACGTATGGAACATACGTACAAATGAAAAGATCAAATATAAAAAATATATACCTTAAATAAACATGACTACATTTAAAAAAAAATATATATATATATATATATATATATATATATATATATATATATATATATATATATTGTATTCATCAAGAAGGGAATCCTTTGTCAAGATTATTCCAATGATTAAGAAAAAATATCCAAGCTGTTCTGAAAATCACTCTGTGGAGCCTATAGTCTGTAGCATGCTACAAAAACAAGACATATTCATAAGAGCGTGATCTCACAGTGCTCTCAAGTGCAACTACATAGATAAAAACATAATATACACATGACCTACCCCCACCTTACCATTTCCCACAAACCTCCCAAATGTGGCAAGGAGACACAGATAACAGATTGGAAGAGAAAACCATTGATGGTTGCTTTAATAAACGATAATTAAAATGCATCCAACGTTTAGCCAACAAATAAATAACATATTGAGTTGAATAGGGTGGTGGAACTATGACCCTAGCAGAGAGAGACTGACAGGCTGGAAGAGCCCTCAAATAAGGTCAGGGCTGGGTTAACATAGGGGCTGCAGCTCCAGGCCCATGGAATAGGCCCATTGATC